CCAGTCCAAGCTTCTCCTTGAAGAACCATCCGAGCTCAGCCTCCGGCAGCACCACGCCCTCAGCCTTAGGTCCGCAACTGCCGCCCTAAAGCGACTGGCGTAATCGGCCACTCTCTCGCCAGCCTTTCGGGCCAGGTGAAGGCAGAACTGGGTCCTGAGCTCGCCACGCTTGTCCAAGGTGCCCTGCCCATTCATCGCCTCCAGCGCCGGCAGGAGCTTGTTCAGGCCGAACAGCAAGTCCTCCGGCTCGTCCACAAGCACCTCGCCAGAGTCCGGGTCGGTCAAGGCGACGGCCTTCTTGCGCTTCAAGTGCTCGGGATCGAATTCTTCTCCTCTCTGTCTCCCTATGCCAGATTGGCGAAGCAACCAACGAGCAGCCAAGTTGCACTTGCGAGTGTTCTCCAACCCGTCCCAAGTCGGGACATGGCTCCAGGCACCATGTCCACCTTCTTATCTGGAATCTGCCATCAAACAAATTGCAAAAGGAAGTGAAACCTTCCCAAGCCTGAACCACAATCACCAGCCAGGGCCCAAGCAGCCGCCAGGCCTTGTCAGCCGCGTAGCCGAACAGGATGACAGGGTAAAGGGTCAGGAACTGGCGGTACACGTAGAAGCAGCGCAGCCGCAACCACAGACCAGCAAAGCGAAGCCAGCGCAGCGGAAAGCCCCAAGCGCAAACTCGGGCTCCGGCGCCACTACGAAAGGCGCACGACACTACTACGAAGCAGGCAAAGCCTAAGCGCTGCCATCCTGGGCCGTCCCGCAGGGCAAGTCCGCCGGGCAGGCGGGGGGTGGCCCTCCGTGGGCAGCTCCTGGCCTCTTCCAAGGGAAAGCCATCGCCCGGTGTGTTTCCAGACACGCCAACCGCCTCAAGGCAGTAAGGTGCTGCTGCATTCCGCGGTCGCGGGCCGCCGCCACCAGGCCTGTGAAGTTGCCAGGACCTGGCGCGATCATGCTGATTGGCTTCAGCCGAACGGTTGCCGCGGACGGTTTGAAGCTGAATGGTCGCGGCGGTTCCGCCTTACGTGTCTCGACCCAAGGGGCTGCAAAAGACATCACCAGCACTGATGGTCCTCCACTTGCTGACCGCCCAACTCCGAAAACATGCCCCCTAACCAGACAACCAACGTTGCCAACGCCGCCACAACTGCAACGCACCAGCACAGCTTCCAAGACCTCCACTGATTGCGCCGCCAGCGACCATGCCCACCGCCAGGCAAAGCGGTGCACACGTAGACTGCATGTAAGGCCGCCCTGGTGAGGCGGTCAAGTGCAACATGTACAGCGCATGTAGAACGCATGAAGGGCCGCCCCGGTGAATCGGTCAAGTGTACCATGTACAGCATGTGTTGCAAGGCGGTCTGCAACATGGCGCAAGTTTGCTGCTGTCTTTTTCACTGTAGCGGTGTTTGAAGACCCAATGAAAGACTTACACCGCCCTGGGCGGCGCAGTCGGGATGGCAGACATCAGGCCTGCGCGCAAAGATCGCCGGAGGCGGCAAATAGATGCACACCTGTCGGTGACGGGTCAGCCACCCAAGGAGCGGTGCAAAAGACGTGTTAAGGCGGTTGCTGCTCACTGGGTGCGAGGAGGCGGGAATAAGGACGAGGATCCCGCCTTTGAGGAGGACGGGCCGCCGCTGTGAGGGGCCCGCAAGATACGCCCGGCGCAGGCGTTGTCGCTGGCAGTGGACCATGCACCAGCCAAATCCCCCCGAAGCCCTGGCAGTCGCTCGGCATGGTCGAAGGCGTCCAGTCCTGAGGCAGGCAAGGGTCTGCCTCCAAAGAAGGCGGCGGGATGGATTCCTGGATCTGGAGCTCACCTTACCTTGGTGGCGGAGCAGGCACAGGAGCCAACACTGTCTCAACAGGCCCACACCGCCCAGCAACGTCCGCCCTGTACCAGGCGTTTCTTCAACGAGGTCCACCGCCAAAAGGCGAGCTCCACCGCCGCTGGTCCTTGACCCGCCTGGCAGAGGAGAGGCGCCCATGGCGTCGACACCGCCTACCACCGCTCGTGGCGCCCGTCTGCGCCCACTGCCGCTTGGTGAGGCGGCGGTCGGCCCTAGGCGGTGGGGCTGCAGGGTTGCGAGGCCTGAGGCGGCGGTTGGCCCACCCAAGCTCTGCCCTCGCAGGCATAGGCTGATTCCGGCGCGCCGGCTCCACCCGCCGCAGCTGCCTAGGTTGCGGCAAGGTTCTTGGCGGTGATGTCGTGCCGCCGGTGGCTGCCGCATGTTTGTCCTCCGCCTCCAGAAAGGCGACGGTCACTCCCAGACCTGGGAGTGATCGGCGGCTCTGGTCCGCCCAGGAAAGCACCTGCCAAAGCCGCCGGCTGGTTGGCGGTCCAGATAGGCTCGGCGGTGATGGTGGACATCGCGCCAATGGTTGACGCCAATGGCCAAGTCGGCGACGATGCTGCCGCCTTTGCCTTGGAGACCGGCATGGGCCCGGTCGCGCCATCCGCCCCGTCCTCATCGTCTTGCCGGGCGGTGACAGATGTGCATCCATCGCCCTCTGTAGGCGGTGGCGCTGTCGCCTGGAGAGGGTCGAAGTTGAGGTAGCTGGGTAGCCCCCCTCCAAGATCGCCTGAAGGGCGGCAGCCGAAGCGGTAAAGTGAGGCTGCGTAGCTTTCAGCTGCCAGAGGGACGGGTGGAAAAACTGGCTTTATGTTCTTGTTATGTTTTCTCGGTCCTTCTCTCACTCTCCCACTCTTCCACAAATGTTGCGGTGGACATGTTGCATGGGTAACCCGGCCAACATTGAGGAAATTGCTGAAACCCCCTTAGCTTCTGTCTTCAGAACATGTGAAAAAGAAGGTTCGACAGGCCACGCACATGCAAATAAGCCCTTGGCATCGAGGAGAAGGCGAACCACGTTTTTGTTGTTGGCTTGAAGCGCACAGCAGAGTGGATTCCAGTCGTGCGGACTGGCAAAGTCGTTGATGGAGGCGCCATACTCCAACAATATCTTCACGATGTGACTGTCCCCGAGGGAAGATGCAAACATCAAAGGTGTCCTCGCAATCAGAAAACGTGGTTCGACACTACCAAATATACGTGATTATACGTGAGATTGAGGTACTTTGTGCTCCCAGCCGTGTCACGTTAAGCAACCAACGTGCAGTCAGAGTCTCCATCCACTTTGTGGCTCCTTGCAATCAACATCCGCACCGTGCACGAGCAAGGTCTTGACTGCGTCACAGTTTCGGCGTTGAGTTGCCTGTTCAGGTCGAAAGGCTACCACAAAGGCTATCACACGAGGTGGTTTCAAAGCATTTCTTGCTTTCCTATACTACTGGTACCTTATTCACCTGAAAAATTGAAAGCTGCCTGGCAAAAAACCCGGTGACTTGTCAAGACTCAAAACCCAGTTGCAATCAGCAGCGGAGACCAACCGTCATCCGCACATGGCTGAACGTAGCCGGGAATACGGCAGTACGTAAGAGCTTCATTCAGGATCTTGCTCCGCTGCATGCAGCAGCCAAGGCATTTCTCTGCATCCAGCTGCGCAAGCAGATTCAAGGTAGATGGACTCATGCTAAAACTCCCATCAGGCTGCTGCTTGGGATCCATACCTGCCATGTGCACATGAATCCTGCCATCTCTACAAACACTTGGACTGTTTGACATAAAGCTCCGAATACAAATCAGATTGAGCCGGAAGCACATGCAAGCAGAGCGTGCCTATATCTGTGTCTGCAGTAGATTGCCGGGACAAGCTTAGGTTGTCTCCGCCAGTTGCAGGCGTCGAAAGCGTCGAAAGCTTATAGTCTGTCCAGGCTGTTCGTCTCCTGGGGCAGTCTCAGCGTCCAAGTGGCGGGCAGTGGCTCAGTGGCTTAGAGACAGGAGTCCTGTTGTGGTAGACGCGCGAGTAGCCCTCCGGGACGGCCTCCACCTCCTTTGGAGGCCCCAAGTAGCAAGGGGCTAGCCTTCAGTTCATGCAGCGAAACGCTTTCAATTACACGGTGGCACTAACTCAGGTAAAGCACGGCCGTCGCAGCGCCATGCTGCCAACAGTTCTTCAACTGGTTTGAGTCTACCTTACGCTTGAGCTCTTCAGATTCCAGGTCATGAATCGCCACGCAAATTGGACCTCAAACGACCTGCGAGCAGAAATTGGCGGAGCATGCGGCACGTGTCTCTTTCTCACTGCCCCGACAGTTCCGTATACAAAGCTTAGAGCAACAGCTCATGCTCCCAGGAAGTGCGCTGTGCTTTGGCGCAGAAAAGCGTTCTTTGCTCCACTGAGTCCTGTCCGGAGCGTCCGAAGAAGAGGCTTGAAGACTTGAAGTGTTTTGCATATTTCCAGCACCTTCCGAAGAAGCGAGAATTAGTCAGGCAGCAGTGACAGCACTTCATGGCACCCCCTGTCCGCCTGCGGGCACATCATGTAAAAGGCCGCTGTTGCTGCTGGCACACCAAGCACCTGTCTTTTGGAAAAGCAAGGCTTGGAAGGAACAACGCTCGGATCCGCTCAGTGGCACAAGCGTCTAGTGGTAAAATGCTGGAATCCAACCGTACAGAAAGTACCTTTCCATGGAAGCATCGAAACGACTTCTTAAGATAGCTCATATCTTTCACAGCAAACCTCGGGCCGTGAAAAGACTGCTGGCCTGCCGAAGTCGAAGACGGCATTGGCATGCGCATAGAACACTGCAAAGATGAGCCACGAAAACAATATGCGCCAAGACATCCTCTGGGCCTTACAGGTTCAACAGTGTCTCACGCACATGCGTGCAGTACTGAAGCTTGCCGCCTAAGCATCGGGTCTGCCAATCACGCGCGGCTCGCCAACCACCCCCTGCCACTGTGTCTCGTGGATGCGGCATCCCATGGAAAAACGCAGGTGCAAAGACTTCTTCAAACACGGGCTGCTGTTCTTGAATCATGGCTTTCTAGTTCATTGCAATGATAAATGGTTCATGATTCGATGTGATTCGTACCTACTGGTAGCAATAATAAATCAATGCAAAGGAAATCCATGAACAACAGCGCCAGAAGGTCTGGATGATGCATAAAGACATGGCAGCGGATAGAAAATGGCAGGGAGGACGAGGAAGTTGACACAGAAAACGTTCGCACGGAAGTTGGTGATAGTGAAATTTGGCGATAATGCATTCGATGTGGCTGCAGCAGAGAAGCAGCAGGACCAGGAGGAAGCTGGCAGAAACCATGATAATGTGTTTCATGATAATCCCGACGCAAATTGCCAGCCAAACCATAATGCCAAGACAGGGCCTCCTCGGGTGTACTTCTAACGTTTGCGGACTCACTCGCTACAAGGCATCCGGCCTCCAAGAGCAAGCAAGCGGCCCACGGATCCTCCTGAGTCGGCCAAAGAAGATGCCGTGGCACGCTCCTTGGCCTATCGCAGAACGCCGCAGAACGTGCTCAACTTTCAAGTAAACTCTGCTTTCTCCGCGCAGCTACGACCCCAACGAGAGCAGGCGAAGAATCGTTTTCACAAGCAATCAGGGAATGCGTCACTGAGCACAATACCCAAGCTATGAAACTCGTGGCCCTCTAAACGTGAAGGTCCTGGGCATGAACATTTGCCAGGTCACTTGGCAAGATCCAAAACCTGACCCATCATGAAATGATCTGGGTCTTTGCAAAAAACAGGACAGCTTATGCCATCTGGGCAAAAATTAAGCATGCATTGGGTATATGCCAATGCATGCCTCGATGGGCAGCTTGCCTCAACGTGCCGTAACTTTACGAGACAGCCTCCGTAATTTACTCATGAAGCTGGTGCTGGTTCTGGGGATCATTACTTGAATGCCCTCGGTGCAGCTGAGTGCACAAGCACATCTGTTCAGAAAACGCGATCTCGAGTGCACCCCTACTGCACTCGAAAAAGCGCGCAGGTGGTTGTGGAATCAAATGAGGATTTGGAAGAGCTGTGAAATGCTGTGCAAGCTGGGAGCTCATACAACCACCAGACCAATTGAGCATCCCTTGATGGGAAAATTGTTATCCAAACCTAATCGAAGCCTGCAACTCCAAGCATGGCAGCTGGAAAACGCAGCCTCGCAAAACACCCGAAGTGTTGCACTTCTTGCCGTCGAAAGCAAAGAACCAAGTATCGAAATGAGCCTGTTAGCTGGCGGCAATAGCAAGAAGGCAACCCCTGTCAGTATAGTCGCTGCGCTTCAAGGGAAGCAACAAAGCTCGCTTTGTCACAGCGCAGCAAATCAACAATAGCTAGAGAGCTTCGAGAGCTTGGTGCGCATGGGTTCCTCTGCGCTTTATCTGGTAGGGCAACGTCTTGGCTCATCTTGGCATCTCAGATGCGGTTTGGACATTCCTGCAGGGATGCTGCGATGGGAAGTATCTGATACCAAAGGCTGAATACCAGGATTTATGAGCCAGCTTCGAACGGCCCACCGAGATTATGGTGACAGCATCATCGCGACTTGCACCTCGACCTATCCTCGCATCTTGGCCTGCAACCTCGCCACTTGATGCTGTCACGCATTGTTCGCAAAAAACTTCAAGCCTGCAGGTGTACTTCCGAACACCTGACCTATTCGTGCTGCTGGTCCAGTTCAAGGCTGTGCAGCCATCAACATTGAGTTCAGACTTAGGTCCAAGGAATCGGCAGTGCCTGAACTGGCCCGACATGTGAGCTACATAGTCTAAACTCCTAGCATCGCCATAGTCCCCTATATAATCCCCAAATATCCCCTTTTGAATCCCCTTGAAGGAGCTTAGACTGCAGCTCATGTGGAAATCCTATGTTTGATATGCGCAGGGCGATTGCCTGCTTGCCCCAAAGCAGAGTCTACTGTGCACCTGAGTTCTCTCAATACAGCAACATGAACTGAAGGCCAATGCTCCAACAGGGCATCGGGGCACGCAAGTCTTGCAATCCACTTGCGGTGCGTCATGGGCTTCTGCTGTACATTAGGGAAGCACCGCAAATGGAGTCTACACAACACCTACATACCATCCTTGGCATATCGCCTGCGAAAATTAAATATGGACCTTTCCTTTCTAGGAGCAAGAGGCCACTGCCTTCATGTGCATGATGTGCATTGCTGCAGAATTTGAATATGTCCACGTAGAGACATTTGTGCTGAGGGCAGTTGCCGTCTGCTTCACAGACCACCTACTGAACTTCAGGGAAAGCTTCTGAAATTCGTTCTCCTTCAGGGTTCTGCATGACGGTGGCAGTAGTAATACGCTTCTAGAACTGGCCAAAACAAACATTCCTGCTCAGACTCCTGACCATGATCACGCACTTATCCGGGCTCTGGGGTCCACAGCTCGAAACTCAGGCGATCCTGCGGAAGCCGGCGCGCTGCAAAAACATAAATCGTAGCAGGGCGTGCCGTTGCTGGCCTCCTTGCTCTTGCCAGGGGGAACCTTGTCAACAAGTATTTCACACAAGGACCTTCAAGGGAGCTCAGGTACTGGCCGGGACTGAGCTTGCTAACAGCGCAGGGCCCGGTACTTCTCTACATTAATGTTCTCTAACCCCGTCACAACACGTCACAACTGTGCTGCTGCTACATGCTGCTACAGCTCCTTCATCTCAGGTCTCGGACCAACATGCCGCGATACCTCCGCATAGTTTGTCTGGCTGGCCTCATGGACAAATTCACTGAATCCTGCCTCAGATTATTGGACATGCAACTCAATGATGCACTGCTTGGCCTCATTATGTGACAGCACTACGTCTTAGATTTCAGATTGCACGAGAGACATCAGCACTTGGTCCGCACCTTCATGGCAGCACTCGCCCACGTCCAGGCTTGCATGGAGGCAAGGCTGGCTGCCTGGCATGCAAAGATCTTTGCCTGCTTTCAAGGTGCTGCATCTGCCGAGTGGCTGCTGTGTGCTCCATCGCTGCGGCGGCCATGGCAGTTGCCAAGCCTAAAGTAGCAAAGCTGATGATGCTGATGCACTTTTCACAGTGTGAAACTAGGTAACTAAGCATCCTTTGTCCTCGGATCCAGGCCAACCGGGTCTGCTCGTTCAGCGCTCAGCTGTGGCAGAACTTCTGGAGCCCTGACATTTGAAGAGCATCAGACGTTTGGCCCAAGGCCAGCGCATCAATCCTCCAAGAAGATAACGGCTTCAGTGTGGCCATATTGGGCATAGATGAAGCGTGAGGCAAAGCAGGTGTCCATGATGCCTTAGGAAGTTGGCAATGGCAATGCGGTAAGGTGTACACAAGTTAGCTTCCCAAAACGTCCAGGCTTCCCACCAGAGGCGGCCTTCAGCTCACAAATTGTGACTTCAAGATACTTCAAGCAGAACCATGGCATAGATTGCATCCAGAGAACGTTGGTACCAAGCTGGCCGAAGATCCATCGAAATCTTCAACTGTGCCAACTCCTGGAGCAAGCCGGGAATCAAAACAAGTGCTAAACAAGCGAAGAAGCGTCCTGGTCCACAGTGCGGTAACAGCGGACTTCTATCGAGTGGTCGGATCGGAAGAGGCACCTTCATGGGGACTTCCCCGCAACAGGGGCCAGCTGCACCTCCTGACCTGAAGCAGGTCACTAAGATTCTCTGAGCCTACTGAGACACCATCGAATCGACTCCAGGATGAGGCGGGATTGCCAAAGCTAAGCGTGACGCTTGTCGATGCCATCACCAAGTAACCCGCCGTCCTTACAAGAAGGGCACTCAGAGCCACAAACGCACGAACGACATCTGTCATGTCAAGTGAAAGAAGGCTTGGGCACACAAGTCGGACCAATCGCCCAATGGAGGGGTCTGCATCAACGCATGATGCAAATCATTTGTACATGTTTCAGATGCACATGTATAGAGAGCACAAGAACCCCGGATGCGCAACTTGTCCACTTCTCCCAAACCCTCACAGATCCTACACAAATCTAGAGGAATTTCAATAGCGCTCTGCAAGCTCGTTTTGAGAAACAAAAGTTTGCAAGGAATTTGGCCTTGACAGTTGGAGAGGATGGCAAGGAAGTGTCTGATCTTTCTAATCCCGGTGGAGCAGGCACTTCCGAGGCAAACCTGCCCAGAACTGCTGTATCTGTCTCTAATCTGATGAAACCCATCAAGCTCTTGAGATCGCTTAAGCCTGCTCTTCGCCACTGCGACTGCTGCAGATTTAGCCTGCTGCTCACCTTTGCGCAGAGCCACGCTGAAGTGCCATGTTTCAGGATCACGTATGACTTGAGGAAACTCAGAAGGTTACTTAACAAGCTACATATATTTCTCTTGCTCCCACTCTGCTGCTGCATCTCTCCTGGACATCAGAGTAGAGAAGGAAGGACTGTAGCTACAGTTTATAAAGTCGCTCAAAAGGCTACAAGTCCATGCTTCGCAGAAGCGAGCATTCCTACTTTCATTAGAAAGCGGCCCGAGCCTGTCTTTGCGTTGGGCACTTCTGTTGTAAATTTCGCTGATCCTGCACATGGGCTTGAAGCACCCAACGTCAAACCAATTCAAAGCTCAACGCCTTTATCCACGCGGCCCGGGCTCAGCGGTTTCCTGAGATTGAACCATGCACCACCACAGCGCTGCGCGCTCACAACGAAGACATGAAACTCGCAACTTCCAATGTTGCTCAAGCTTCGGCCTGTCAGCGTTCTGATTACCCTCTCTTGGAGCCTGCCAGTTGCATAACTCTAAGTTTTCTACCATAATGGTCTGACTTCTTAACTATCGGGGCTTGGGAGATGCTGTCGATATTCTGATACAGTTGTGCCGCTTGCGTTGGATGAAAGATGCTTCTTTCGAGACAGTTGGAGATAGTGAGTACGAACATGTGTCTCGCCACAGCTTGAGCAAAAACCCGAAGGACGTGAAACTACAGCGTGCCTCGAGCTGAAAGCTCCGCAGCTCCTTGATGCCATGAGCGTGCCGGCATCTGTGGCCCTCAAGATGTCTCAAGATGGGCATGAACTGAAAAAGAGTAAGGCTTCAAGATGTGTCCGTGCCTTCTTGCAATGTCCACGTGTGTAGAAGTTGCACAGCCTGGCAGTCAAGCGGGCACCAAAGAATGAATGACTGAAAGCTAAAGGTGCTTGTAATAGCTAAGACGCTGCGTCTTGTACCTCAGCTGCCATACATGACCCATGAAAAAATTAGGAGCCGTCCTGGCGCTGTTGAGCTGCAGATTTGAAGTCATTGCGTTGAATTTATGTTTGGGAAATTGCAATGTCATGTATCACTGTTGTGTTGATGGCACCCTAGCCTGTTCTAGAAATCAAGGAAATAACAAAGTCAAGTTTGAGTCAAAACGGCTGTCAAATCTCTTGCCGTCCATGTTGTCTAGAATAAGAAAAACTCAGAAAAAAAGTCACCGCCTAAGTTAATTACCAAACTAGTCAAGAACAAGTCACCTTCTGTAAGGCCTATCCTATCTCGGACCCCACACTGTCCAAAGACGCCATTGCAATCGGAAAGAAACCACATTGGAATGCAGAATCCTGATGTTGAGTATAGTATAGACGATTATCCCATCAGCACAATGGAGGCCTCGGAATACTGGGGGCTGACTTCTGGACTCAGCAATGCTGAAAGGGCGTGGGGGGTTGGCGGGGTCTGGGGGTTGTCGGAATGACTCCAACAATTGGGGCGAGCGGGTGCCTTTGCGTGCCGCCGTCTGCCCCCAACCTGTTGGAGGATTTTTGGCGACCTGGAAGAGGACTCCGAAAGTGACTCCAAATTTGACTGTTTTGAAGTGAGCTCAACCCGAAACTTGACTTTTCGCGAAAAAGTCAGGAAATGTCAAAAAGAAAGAATCAGAAACTCATGTTTTTGGGCTGCGCGACCCGGTGTTTAACTGAGCGGTGCCCAAAATCCTACTCCTATTTCATTTCGGAAACAAGACTCCTTACTGTAGCCGTCGTTTTCCAAGCTTTGCTTACGACATGATGTTGTTGTTGTTTCTGCTTACGCCGCTCACACCGGCTTGCTGCAACAGCTGCAGCTGCAAGGATTAACAACACCAACGAAAACAACAGCTGACAACGCTTACGGCAACAACGTTGCCACAGAATTGCTTACGACGCCTTACGAAACACAACACGTTGCTTACCCTTACGGCAAACCTTGTTTCTGAAAGCCCCTGTCTTTTCTAGATAAGGGAGTTTTGATCTCTGCTCAACTGTTTTAAGTTGCTTATGTTTTCTAACATTCTCTAGGGAAAACGACCCAGGTCCATGAGCTCACCCCAAAAATGTCAATTTTGGAATCACTTTCCAGGTCATCAAAAAGTCACCCGACAGGCTTTGAGTCACCGCTCCGAACTTTCCACCACCTACACACCCGCCAATATCTCAGGCAACCCTCCCTGCTAACAGAAGCTTAGCCAGCCCCCGAATTGTGCTGACGGCGCTCATGTCATGTGACGTAGTCTTACTGCCGGCTGATTTTTCAAAGTATTGTCTGGAGAAGAATCTATCCGGCTTGGCGGGTTCGAGACTCAAGCTTGGATATGGATAGCGTATGGTTGATGGCTTGAAGAGCCTTTCTGCTTAACGCTAAGCATGGGGCTGTGGGTTTCTAGAACGAAGTGCAACAGAGTGATCAACACAACGATGACTTGTTGATTGCATTCTTCTGATTTGGATCTAAATCTAAATCTATTGGCAAGTCGAGAGGTAACTTCATCGCCGCATGGGTCGACCCCGTTTCTGACATTGTTCTAACTTTTCATTTATGGCACTGAGTCCGGAGACTACCAAGTCTCATCGACACAAAAACACTGCAGAACATATTGTGTGCCCAGCCCCGAAGCCAGGTCCAAACAAAATGCTAGAAAACAACTTCCACCAAGGCTAGTCCTGACTTCTTTCATTAGCATGCACAGCATGGGCTGCTTGCTTGCCGGGGTTGGTGCCACTTTCCTGGCGAAAGCTGGGATGTGCATTCAAGTCACACGCTCTGAGTAACTCGAAGTTCCTGAGATCAAGAAGCCCTTCTCACAACTCTCAGTTGCCAGAATCTGGGCAGCCACCACGCGAACTTTGCCAAGGCTCGCTTTCGCCGTGGGCAAACTTGCAAGCGGGATCCTTGCAGTCTCCACGCGCGAATGCACGGCAAATGGCCTTATGGTGGCAGAGCCAAGGCGTCTCTCGAATCCAATCGCAAAGCTGCAAGCGTCTTCTGAGTCAGGGTGCGGTCTTGGTCAAGTCTGGAGGAGCACGCAACTCTCTCGCAGAGTGGGCAAAGCGGCATAAGTCGTCGTTGCAAGAACCTGAACGAAAGCATCCGAAAGACCTCGAACCTCATCCCAAACTTCTGAAATCCTTGTGATTAAGCAGATGCGAGCTGAGGCAGAAGCCACGCGCGAACCTGGCGTACGAGCACAATATCAAAGATGTCTGTCCGCGGCTCAACACATGCTGCCAACAAACCATGTGCAATCAAGATACATGGCACACAACTTGGTCTTGCTCAGCTGCGCCACCACCAAGTGGTTGAGAGGCGAGTCATCAGACTCCGGGGCCAGCTTGCTCCTGGTTCTTCAGAGTTGCTTGAAAAGCATCACTGTGCTGACCCTCTCCGACAAAGAAACCAAAAAATCAGTCGAGTCGCATGGTCGTAAGCAGCAAAAATTTGCGGCGGCACTTAAGCCAATCTTTGACGGCAAGCTCCATCGATGGCATGACACGACAGATCACAACAGCATGCAACGGCTCTTTGCCCACTACAGCTACACCAAACGAACCCCTGTTATGTTCACTCCGAGCGCATGGCATGGATCGACTTTGACAGCATCGAGCCGGTGGTTTGGAATGATGGCCCCTGACAACAAAGCACTGACTGATTGGCTGTGATCCGGCGCAGTCCTAAGGCATGCTGAATCTGCTCGAAGCAGCCAGACACAATGGTGGGCGTGCAAAGGCCTCCAGGAAGCCCATTACGAAGTAAGTGCAATACGCTGTCCAAAAGCCCTGCCATGCTGACTCCAGCCCCACCAAAATGGTCTGTTCTGTTTTCTAGCACCTCCTGTAGCGCAAGCGGCACCACCATGGACCCAGTGGCTGCGCAACACTCCGCCAATTCAGCTTCAAGTACCTGTTTCGTGCACGGTCTCACAAAGACGTCCAATATGCTGAGCTCTCAGTCCATGGCTGACAGCGCAAATTGTGATCCTTGGTCTCGCAGCGTCCACAAAGCGCAGAATGTGTGATGACGCAAAGCTTGGGCCAGTGAGTGTTTTTTACTCAGGTAGATGCTGCAAAATCCACTTCCCCCCAACTTGGTCGGCCAGCGCGCCCCCTAGGATCTAGGTCAGCATGTAACCTTCACTGACAGATCGTGTGTTCTCAACATGTGAAGCAGACTCCCGGCCTGATGCCAACGCTGACAGCAAGCTTCCGGCTTCCGGGTCAGACAGCTGAAATTCCTACTGCGTGCCAACCATGATCCCAGAAACACTTTTAAACAGTGTTGTCTCACATGCATGGACAGAAAACCTGAGCGGTTCCTGCCGAATCTCTGGAAGCAGTGCTCCCAAAAGGATGTTGGCCTGGCAGACCAGTCTGCATCCGAACCTTGGCAAGCGCATCATCGCGCATCAGTGCAAACAAAGCAAGCTCTGCTAGCGAGACACAGCAGCCAACACATCACCATTCGAAACTTCGGAACCTGGACTCAGTGCCAGTCCCGCTGCCACATCGTCAAGAAAGTGATAACCCATGCTCCCAAAATTGTTGGCCTTGATACTCTGTGGCCATCTGCACCATTGGTCACACTGCTGGCCTCCCAGACCACCACCAAAACTCCTGCTGTATTAATACGGCCGTCAACTGAGGACTAACATCTGCCGAATAAAATGAAATTCTGCGAGCATTGTATGGAATGACTGGCTCTAGCCGTGGTTCTGCTTGACCGGGCTATTTCTTACGCCAACATGCTGAAATATCTCACCATGGTAGGTACCGGGCCTGTCTGGCTGACGGGCCAGGCGACTGCACACGGGACCGGGGAATCGCTGAAGCCGCTCCAGCTGCCAGATGCATCTGGCAGTAGATACACAGGATGTCTTTGCAGTCCCCACTCTGCAATCTATCGTGGACTCTATCCCAAGGCAACCAAGGCAAGAACTTCATTGCCTTGTGAAGACCTGGCCCGGGCAAGTCCAGAACAGTCCAGAAGTTGCAGAACATATTATGTCATATAGACACGGCAGTGGCAACAGCATCTGCTCATATCTACTCCAAGTGACTTTTGAGACATTTTGCGAAAAACCGAGTCTCCAGCAATTTCTGTTCTGTTACAGCAGACAGCAGCAGCCGCCATGGCTTGCAGTAGAACACTTTTCCTGAATTCTCGTGATATCAACGGCATCATTGAATGACTGCTAAACAAATCTTGATCTACTGCCTTCTCAAACAAGTCGCAGATGCTTCAGCACAGGCTTGCCTTCTTCCATGGCACAAGTTTCCTACATCATCCCAAAGCCCGAAACAAACCTCAAGGAAAGGCAAAACTGCAAGGAGGCCATGGATTGTTACGACTGTGCGCGTTTGCACTTCCCCAGTGAAACCGGCACATACCCAGAAAATGGTTACGACTTCACTTGTCACCTGTACCCCACCATGTGACAACCACTGATGGAATCCTGACGAACGACAGATGCTGGGAGGTGCTTGAGTGATTGATGGCTAACATTCAGAAACAGGTCATCTCTTCCACATGCTGACTGCACGCAAACTGGGCGCAACCCGCTCCCATTTTTGAAAAGTTTGAGGCAGGTTGTCATGGAGGGGCGTCGATTTGGATCATCACTCAGCACAAAGCTGTAGTCCATCTCTAATGATCCACCAGAACCTAGGAACTGGAGATGCAAACGCTAACACATGCAAACATCAAAAACAGTAAGTGCTATGCGAGGCTGTTAGGCTGTACGCGCTGTGGCCCAAGTTCTGCCATGCGTCAGGTCTCCACGAAGGCAAACACCTTGCCCATGGACCAGACGTCTGCCTGCACGATACAGAGTCTGAGAGCAAGTACGCTGGACCGATTCCAATGCCTTGTACGCGTTGAACTCCAAGCCGCCGTCAATTTCCGGAGCCTGCACGAGGCTGGACATCTGTCGAAGTATTCCGATAAATTCGAGACAACACATCCCACCCGGTAGCCAGGCGTGCCCATGAGGCCGCGCAGACAGTTCGATGCTCCGATTCGAGTTGCGGTGCCCAAATCACACAACTTGCCGCGCAGCACCTCAACACAGACCATGGAGATCTCTTCAAGAGATTTCAAGAGCAGGAAACGTTTAGGTTGAGCCTAGCGACTGGCCCCAGCTCCACGAGGACGTTGTGCGGCTTCACGTCAAGATGTGCAAACCACTCTCCGTGCATGAAGACCAGAGCCGAGATCACATCACAAAGCACTGGATGCAGGGGCGAACAAGAACCGCAACCTTCCTCGACAAAGTTTCGCAGCGCTCCCCCGTTGCAGTATTCCAGAAGTATGTCAAGGGCGTCACATCTTTCAATAACTCCCAGGAGCTTGACAATGCAAGGATGCCGCAGCCGATCAAGGCACCGTACTTCGTTTACATGTGTGGGATAAGGCTGTGCTGAATGTCTCTTGTGAACGCGCTTAACCACAATCTTGGTTCTGTCAGAAACCTGGGCTGCCAAGTGAACTTCGCAATTGTCAGTCTTGGCCAATGTTCCTCCCACAACATATGCGGCAGGCAGCCGCCTCCAGCGCCGAAGGATGTCTGCACTCAACTCTTCAGGTCCAAAGCTGGGTCCATAGCTCAAATCTTCAACATCCCAGGGTTCAGCAGGCTCTTGCCTTGATGAGACTTTGGTTTCACGCACTTCGCGCCGACCAGCTTGAGGAATTTGGTGCGCATCTGCCGTGCCTAATGCCAGGGGCATCGCACCATCTGAACCGACAAGAAGAGCTTTGCTGGAAAAGCGAAACTCTGGGGTCAAGAGCTTGTCATAGGGACCTGCAGAGGGCTTGAACTGGACATCCTCTGAAGAGTTTGCACGTTCATGATCACGATATTTCGATGGATGTTGTACCACCGAAGCGCTGCATCCCATGCTGATAACGTCCCCCCACAATTACTCCTCATGCACATATGGCCGTAGAGCGGGGCATGCTGGGCAGCTCATGGCGGAATGCTGCCTAAAGCAAGTTTCCGCCGAGGACATTTGCCCCTACACTCTTTACAGGTGCTAGTGGCCTTGCCCTCAAATGTCTGCCATGTGCAAGTGGCTGGCTGCCTCGCAACTCTACGGTGCTAGATCCGCAGCCTTGAACTAACAAGCTGATCAGCATCTGCTCAGCTTGAGCTGTTTTGGAGCCGAAGTGAGTCCTACACGGTGGGGCCTGCTTGACGCACTACATCTCACTAGCCTCACCTGACTCTCCTGATTGCTTTTGTGGTAATTGTCTTAAAAGCAAAAGACGTCATCAAACATGTAAGGCACTGATGTCTGAGAATCGCCGGACTACCTCTCCTTTTCGTGGTCAGCTCTGCATTTCACGCCGAGTCTGTGACCATTGGAGACTGGTCTGGAAAGATCCATATGTACAAGAGGAAACGTTGCCCGTTCTCTCGGACGACAAGCTTTGCCTAGACATGGACAGGAATTTGGCAATGTCTTTGTGCCAGATCAAACATGCCTGTTACCAGGCACTGAAGCTCAACTCTTCTTGCTCGGCGGTCAGGCAAAGTTCCTGCAAAGAAGAGACTACTGCCATGGCTCCCATCCAGCAGCGAATGCGTCAATTGACTTAAGGTGCGCACGTCTTTCTGCTCCTCCTTCAAAGGGTCCTCCTGAGAAGCAGGAGGACCTCAGCACGTGGTCTGGCCCCAGCTTGTGAGCTGTTCAGCTAGTCTCCAATTGATTAAGCGCATCGCATGCAAAACAGGAAATGCGCGATTCATCAAGATTGTTCGCGCAGCACGGCGCTGAAAAAACTGCAACCGCGGCACTCAACTTCAGAGCTGGCTTGGTGCCTCCAGATCAGCACACATCCAGCACCGCTGTTCGTGACAGGCCTAGCTTGGCCTATTCCATTTCGAGGGGCAGGAGGATCCTCGTCCATGCGGGGCCTGCGCAGAGCTTCCCATCTTTGTTCCTGCTTCACCCCTTCCTCCACATCCCCTCAAAACCCAGAGCTCGCTAAGCAAGCGACGAATGGAGGACTAGGAATCGAATGGAGCGCGAAGATTTGCGATGACCTTGGCATTACACGGGCGAGAAGTCAAGTCAGGGCCGTACTCAAATCTTAGCAGCACGCGTAAAAAGGCGGATTTCGCTCTTCGCAGTCTTTGCGTGAGCTGAAACCTCTCGCAAAAATCATCAGCCAGTGCTGGGATCTTGGCGCGCCCCTTCCCAGATATTGCGAAGTCACTGGTGCTGTGCAATCTGATGATTCTGGACGACTGAGATGTTGGCCAGCGAAATCGACAATGCTTGTAGGCAATCTCTACCTCAGCTTTCCCAGCAAGACTTACTTTAAAAGCTCAACTCACGACTTGTGTGATTACAGTTTCCTTGTTGGAATGCACTGCACTTTGCAGGTCAACAACAAGAAATTGGAGATCCGGGTCACGACTGAAAGGCGAGACATGATCATATCTTGGCTGCGAACCAAAAAAAAAACAAAGTAGCTGCGACGTTGGTACATGTTGTTCTTGCTGGTCACGCCCTGGTTCGGAAACTACTAAAAACCCAATTCGGAAACTGAAAACCCTGATTCGGAAACCAAGCTGATCCGGAAACTAAAAACTCTGATGCGGAAACTAAAAAGCATGATTCGGAAACTAAAAATCCTGATTCAGAAACCAAAAAACCCTGTTTCGGAAACTCATAAGCCTGATTCGGAAACTATGACCCCTGATTCGGAATGCAAGAGATTACCCAATTACCCCCCCCCAACCGCCCTCCCACCCTCCCCACCCCCTCAAGCCCCCTCAAGCCCCACCCCGCTCCCCCATGGCTTCAGTTTCAGTTTAATCTCTGAATCGGTGATTTTTTGTTTCCAAATCCGGAATCTGAGTTTCCGAATCGTGATTTTTAGTTTCCGAATCGGGACATGTTTAATCTCTGAATCGGTGATTTTCAGTTTCCGAAGCAGTAATTTTTTCAGTTTCCGAATCGGGGATTTTAGTTTCTGAATCGGGGTTTGTCCTTGGTACCATGGACTTTCTGTTGTTGTCTCTGAGATGTTAGCTTCCACCGGTCCAGACATCGTCTTCGGGAGGATGCTTTGAGACACTGATGAATAGCTGCCAATTACCGCTTGCTGCGAATGCTCAGCGATCTTTGTGCATAAGAGAACGCGTGACAAACGTGTTGAATGAAGTGGAAAGTTCCTGGCCTGCCCAGCTTAACTGTCGGATGTGCTGTTTGCAGTTCCAGAAGCTACAGCCTGCCCACATGCTCTCACAGCTGCACAATTGCTTGTCTGGACCTGCAGCTCCTGAGTGCGGTCCAGGCATGAGAGGAAGACTGCTGTATGTTACAGTTAGATGTAGTTACAGATTGTGAGCGAGCTTTCGCCCGCCCGTGAAACAGCCGCAGGAGGAGGAGCATGCGTGGTGCAAGGGGGAGGGGAGAGCCGGAGAAGAACAGGGGCCGCATCAGACAGGCAACTGGCGGAGGACTGCACGGGCATTTTCACGCTGGAGCGTGTTTGCAAGGGGAGCATCACCAGGAGACAGCAGTAGTGGTGGCATCACTTGTCGGATCTTGTCGGTAACCGCACATAAGTCTAGGCAAGCCAGTGACAGACTGACTGAAAGCAGGCTCAGCGCTTACTCTGCGGCCTGCTGCCCAGGTCCTTCCCAGCTTTTCCCGGGGCTCTGCGGGTGCAGCATCAACCAAAACAAAAAAAGACATCAAAAAAAAATAAAGTCCGCATCAAAAAAACAATGACCTGCAGACCAGAATCCTAGATACACGCTGGAGAAGGCAGCATTCCCAGCCACATCAAGAAAAAAAACAAAGCCTGCGAAGGATGAAAACTGATGAAGATTATTCAAACAGCTATGATAGTTGATGAACGTGATGAATTGTGATGTAGGTCACTATCTTTTTTGAAAATGTCACGAATTACGAAACATGATGAAACATGTTAAATCATGAAGATCTTGAAATATGATGCAAACTCATGGCAACATGGAAAATGATGAAAACTTCCTGAAAATGATGACCTATGTTGCACAATGATGAAAGTCATGACGTATGATGCAAAATGATGAAGAAGAATGAAAATGGATGAAAGATACTGAAAACAACGAACATCATGAAAAATGCTGGTAAACAATGAAACATGATTAAATAATGAAAAATGCTGACAATACATGCAAAGAGGAGACATGCTGAAGATTATGCCAAATTTTTTGAATTTCGACATCATGTAAAATCATGAACACTGGTGAAACTTGAGGAAAATCATGAAAATGGTGAGAAGGGCTGAAAGAAACGATGAAAAATCAAGAAACATAATGACTGATTATGAAAATGCATCTTAATGATGCTATACGCTGACAATTGTGAAGCTTTATGAAATTGGATGAAAATTCATGAAAAAAGTTCAAACATGATGACACATGATGAAGATGATGGAACATGACGAAACTGGTAAAATATGATGAAGATGATGAAATATGAAAAATGATGACAACACATGAAATATGACGGAAAATCATGGAAACATGATTTTCAATGTGAAAACGATGAAAGTCTTTGAAGATTGATGAACATTATTGAAAAATTATGGAAAATCATGGAAACTGTGGAAGATGAAGACTTTTCATGAAACATGATGCATATGATTATGAGTACTTCTGATTTTAATAGTAATAGTACAAGGTATAGTAAGAGTAATAGTAATGGTAATAGTAATAGTTATAGTTATACTAGTAGTAATAGCAATAGTAATAGTAATAGTACTCGTACTAGTAATAGTAATAGTCGTAGTAATAGTAATAGTAATAGTAATAGTAATAGGAATAGGAAATAGTAATAGTAATAGAAATAATCTTGGTAGTAGCAAAGAAGTCAGGAAGCCACAAAGCCAACAAGCCCGGACCCCACGCAGCCACGAAGCCAAGAAGCCCGGAGTCCAGGAGGCCAGAAGTGTAGCGTTTGTTTTTTTCTTGATGTTCGTTAATTTTTGTTTTGATGTTCGTTTATTTGTTTTTGATGTTCGTTTATTTTGTTGTGATGCCTACTCCCTCTGCAAGTGTCATCGCCGCCTCCGTCTAAGACTTCAAGCAGACAGGAAGCGGCAAGAAGTATAACAACACAAATGGCAGCATGTTGACAACCTAGCAAAAATCTAACGCCAATGACAAAACACCAGCGCCGCGGGCATGCATGAGGCCCTCATTAGAATCCCAGGGTCTATTGATAGAGTCTATAGGCTACTCAGAACAATGGCATCTGCCACGCTTCGTCGACCTATGCAAGGAGGCAAGGTGCCCTTGCCACTGGATGGGCTTGTAACTGCATCATCCCCATGCTAGGTAGCAGGCGCGCCATTTTCCAAAGGTGGGCGGTGGGGCTTGGAGAGTCAACCGAGGCTCTGCGACAGGACACAAATGGCACTAGACATGCAGAGTCAGCACGGCGGGCCTTGTGCCATGAAACGTTGTTCGTTAACAGATTTTGTATAGATGCGGGGATGTCAAATCCAGATCCTTCAGTCCGTAAAACGTTTCATGTGAGGGTACAGTCGCCCTGGCAGGGACCACGTACCGTCGAGAGCGTTTATTGGGAGCAAGTTACGTGGTTTACCTCCACATCCATCCTATTAGTGCCCAGCCCAATCAACTGCTCGGCCCGGGGGAGCAATAGGGTGGTGTTGGCAGCAGCATAGCCTGTGGCAGCCGAAAGCATGGCGCTTTCAATACACCAGCCAGCATCATGTTCAAGTCATTTAGCCGAAAAAAGCCTTGAGACTCAAGGGGGCAAGGACCAATCCCTCCAGCTTAACTGCACCCTGCAGTGTCGATACGTGCAGCTAGAGTGGAGACAACCCTCGATTCCGATGTTCCAGTGCACGATGACTGCAAACTTGCCCTCATAGTCGAAAATCTTGCCAACTTGCGAGTGGCATCTCTACTTTTCACTTCGCTTCCCAGCCCAATCTGCAACCAAAGCGGACAAGTGTTGAACAGTGACAAGTTGATGGGCTCCTGACCGCAACCTTTGTATTGTGGCTACTGGCTTGGGCAGGCAGAGGCTCTTCTAAGGTGTGAACATCACGATCGATGCAGATTCGTTTGTCATCGTCCTCTGCTGCCAAGACCACAACTCTCAGACCTAGGCTCGGCAAGGGAAGGCACCGGCAGGCAATTCCAAAGGCTGTTGCCCCTGAGCTCCCGTGCTCTGAACAGGCAGTGTGGCAAGAATGAAACGCCGAACTTGAGCTATGGCTGCAGGCAGTGCCTTGAAGGTTCACGTCGGCAGCCATGCCACGCTCACATCTCCCTGCCTGCTGCCAGCTGATTCCATCCTGGAGCATCGGTGGTCATCACGGCCACGCTTTGGCTGGGACTGCTACAATTCCGCCTGGGGGGCAACGGAAAGATGCAGAATTCGTGCATAGTGAGCTGCATGACCTGGCTGAGAGGAAACGTGCTTGCTACAGCAGGTCCTCTTTATGCACGGGCCTTGCACAAATTGAAAACATACGAGGCCGTCAGCAGAATCTGCAGATGTGTCTTTCCCTGCAGACAATCACGAGCGGTAATGGGAACTTACATGAGTCTGAAAAACATCTCAGCCTGGCTGATGTATCCAGAAGATCTCCAGCTTACCAACCTTGGTCCCGGAGTGAAGTCCAGTAGCCAAGGTGCAGGAACTTTTCATTCTTCTTGGGAAGCAAGCCAAGCTTCCGAGCGGTTGCTCCGCAGCACGACGCTGCAGCTTGTCCTGTTGAGTCCAGGCCATACAAGCTACCAGAGCCATCCCCAAAAGGATGCTACTGTCCCAATCGGTCTCGGCAGCTGCTGCCAGATGTTCCGAGATTCGCTTCATGTAGCGCTCGATGATTCGCTGCGGTTGCTCCTGTTTTCAAAAATTTTGCGAATGGCTTCGGCCGCACCAAGGAAAGTTGACGCACTCTTGAATCGCACGCAAGAAAGGTCCGCAACGAGCGGCGACAGCTGAAACTCTAACTCTGGAGCAGCTGGCACCTCACGACACTTCCAAAATTGCCTGGCCGCTAGATTTGAGACAGCTGGGGCTGGAACAGCGCGTGCCAGCGCCCCGGGGTCGTCATCGTCATCATCTTCATCATCGTCAGAGTCTGCCTTCCTGTTGCCAAACACCTGTTCCAGTCACTTCTCTCATGCAATACCATCCTGTTGTATCATCCTTCTGCTCGACCGGCTTCACTCCGCAAATCTGTCATTTCTGCGAACAAACATGGAGTGTAGGCAGACTGGCGGACCAGCATTTACTGCAAGCATGCCTTTGGAACCTAGATTCCTGAAGGCTTCAGATTCTCGCATGGATAATAGACTTTTCAAACTTTAGCTCCCCCAATGGCTTCGGTAACTAATCACAACTACATCAATCCGACAAGCCTCACCCGCATCTTTGAGCAATGGCCACTGAGCCTTACCTTAAGGAGCCAAGAAACCATCGGGGCTCAAGCTCCAACGCAACCCTCAATGCTCCTGGGACTGCCAAACACAAAGTGTCGCTGAGGCAACGCAACAGCGGAACACTCACCCCATACCTTGCGGAGCCCAAAAAAAAGCAAAACCACCAACCCGCCACTGCAAGGCTCCGAACTCTAGCGCACGGCAGAAACCTGTTTCGAACAAGGCCCAAAAGGTGCCAGTCTCACCAGAGCCAGCACAGCCTGTCAGTACAAGAAGTGCTGTAAGGCAGCCAGCCCTGCAAACCTTCGTGGTCGGACGCCCTGTTTTTTCTTTAAATGCTTGTAGAGCAAAAGGTGCGGAACACGGGCCTGTGTTTTGCCCATATGCTATGGGCGTCTAGTAAATCTACTATTTTCAGTTTCCATACAGCATGCGTTCATGCTTCAGCAGGGCATGCAAGACACCGGGAGGTCTGTAGCGGATCTCCAAGTCTCTACGGCTCTAAGGGCTTGAGTTCAGCATTAGTTAACTAGTTAAGTCCCTTTTTGATCGAGATATTTTAGAAATTAGAATTGGAACTTATTTCCAGTATTCGAATTGTTCAAAGTCTCTGGTCTATTTGAACAGGAATTTTAGCAACAGAACCCTCCTATCAAAGCCAAGTCAAATACTTTACATATTACAAGTCTTACACACTAGGATTTTCCCTCGATTGTTGAAATTGAAATATGTAAATCTCGTGGCCTTCCTCAAAATTCCAAGTTGGCAATAGTGCTTTCCATTTATTGAGTTATGTGAATGAATTCAACCAATGCGATTGATGTAATTGTCGGAAATCCTGAATTCAGGGGTAACGCCTTCTTATCCAGATACCAGTCCTGAAATCAACTTGAGCAGTTCAGATAGCTTTCATACTTTAAGTGCCCAAATTGATACCTCATCCTATTTGTGTTTCGAATCTAACGTGATTATGTACAGAGGACACAGGATTTACATCTTCTAAATGCTGGCTACTATTGGAAGAGCAATGGTTGGCCGCATGTGGGATGTTTGGGAATGAAATGGAGTCCTACAGATCCTGTTTACAGCACGTCGTAGGCTTCCACAATGATCTTAGTAGAGAGTAGTAAGTATAACACTGTAGCAAGGTTGGCATAAAATTCTATGTTCATGCCTAAAATTTTAGGCCCGTATTTCGTGCAGGTCTCTTTTTTGGGAGTTTCCTTGGAGCGGCAGTGCTTGTTGTGCTATCTTGTTCTACATCGTTTTGCATACCAGATCATGTTGGGGAGGCCATGCCTTGGACTTGATAGCCGCACATGAGGCTTGTGAAGAACTGAGAACACAGCGTCCTAAAATGCGGAATTCTGACGGCTTGACAAACTCCTCACACCTCCTGCGATCCTCCTCGAATACATGGTGCAGCAACAGCACGTACTGACAAAACGTAATACTGTCTCGCTTTGCGTCACTTCGGTTGGGCCCTGAGTTGAGACACAAAGACACTGATCTTGTTATGTGAAAAGCACCATCTTGCTGTACAGGCTACAGGCATGATGTCCAGGAATTAACGTACGCAGACATGTTAAGGGTGACGGAACTTTAGTCCGTCGCTCATTTTGCTGACACTTCCTGCCATATCTTTTTATTTGCTGCCTCAGCTGGACGTCCAACAAAGAATTGGTGTCCACCTTTCAGACCTCCTCACGAATTGTCTCACGTTCGCAGATTTCAGCTTAGTGTAGACGTCAGGGCGAGCGTAGATCGATTCAGTGAAGCGGCCGGCCGTAGACTCGAAACGGCTTGAAGTCGCACGGTAATTCAAACCCAGGACCACCGCATGAAGGGGTCAATTTGGTTCGAGGGCTCGCTGCTCGTCGAAAAGGTTCTGGCGCAGAGTTTTCTTCCGTTCTCAGACAGGCTCGCCACTTGCAATTGACAGGGTTTGGGGCACGATGCCTCCCAGGAAAGATCCGGATGAGGTGAATTTAGAACTTCAAGAATCCAAAAATGCGCCCCTGATTTGTTGAAGTCACTATGAATGATGATGAGCCAACTCATACGGCCAGACCTCTGCCTTTCAACACTCTAAGCCGTCATGAACTGACTCGCTCGTCGCTCCCAAGCACAACATAGCCGATGCAATAACCTTCACATGAGTTTGCAGCCAAAGCTGAAAGTTGCAAGCAAGTGAACTTGTGTGAAAAAACTTCTGCATCAAACTGATCTGATGTTGCCTTGTCTTTCCGACCATGTTGTGTGAAACCCTGTAAATGAGCTGTCTGTTATGCGCACCATCGCGCCTCAGATGTCTCTGCTGGCGGAGGACTGGAGAGACCTTCTCCTACATGGTCAACACCACATACAGTATCATACAGTCAAGCCAATGGGATCTTTCAAATGCTGACCTCGCGGCGCTTCACGCACTGGACCTCTGGCAGGAAGTAAAGTCTGCTGCGAGGAAGTTTGAATTGGTCACCGTCCTTGTCTGCCCAGAGCCTTCAAGACTTGTGCAGAAGATTCGCCTCGACTGTCACGAATACAATCCATTTGCGACCACAGCACTAGGCCCAAAACTTTCGAAAACCAGCCGACCCGAACCTCCCCGTCGGCTCCTTCGTTTATCAAGGTACTTGATGGTCACGAGATGTCATGAAACTTGCAGGATTTTGCTAACACGGGCCGTCCTTGAACAAGACCTGGCATTGCAGCCAGTTTGCAATGTGCCCGCAACCAATGAGAGCCAAATGCAAAGTAAAGTTGACTGACGCAACACTTGAGGGCAAAACGGACGAAAGCTAGAATTCTTTCTCAAACGATGCACTTCATGGCATAGTTGTCCTAGGGGACTGGGATGAGATCAGGGTTGCTGCCAAGAGTGCATGGAGGCACCTGGCAAAAAGAGTCTATAGCAGAACCTGGGCCCATCTGGTCCGCAGACCACCCTCCCAGGGGGAGTTGAAAGGCCCCATGGCCACCGACACGCCCAATCCAACTCGCACACGAGTACAAAAGTGGCGCAACCACTCGCGAGAGAGCACTGAAGAGCGGTCACGCTCGCGGGCAACAAAAGTTGAGTAAGGGGGTCCGTCTTTTATTTGACACCGAAAAAGGTCCGAAATCAGCTTTAAGCCAGATAGGTGGAGGATCCAAAAATTTGGAATTAAAAACAAGAAGGTATGTAAAAACAGAAAACACAGCAGTGGAAGGATAAAAAACAAATGCAAACTTATGCAAATATTGCAAATTACAGCATTGCGGCTCTTGAATGGCTACCTTTACAGCAAATTACAGCATTTGTGGACTCTTGAAAGGATACTGACACTTCAAAGTACAGCATTCGCGGCTGTTGAGAAGCTACGAACACGGCAAACTATAAAATTTGCGGCTGTTTAAGGACTGCGAAAACTCCCAGTTACAGCATGACGAAAAGCAGAACATGTAGCTTAAACACAGCTTTGATGGAATGTTTTGACATTGTGCCTGCGCTGCAAAATAGCAGTTTAGTTGGGCCCCCCAATTGCAAAAACATGGACGAAGATCAGAACATGTGGCTTCAGAACACCATGCATATTGATGCAATGTTTGAGCATTGTGCGTGGATTACACACTACAGCATTTGAACACTGCAAATTACAGCATTGGCTGCTTTTGGAAGAACACTAACACTCCAAATTACAGAGGTGCTGGCTCCAGAAAGACTACGAATACTGTAAAGTACATCATTCGTGGCTCTTCAAATGATTACTATAAATATTGCAAATTACAGCACTTGCTTGAAAGGGCGCGGACACCGTAAGCATTTGGGGCCTTCCACGGTAATTACAGCGTTTGGGGCTTTGGTCAGGCAGCAAATTAGGTAAATGAAACATTTGGAACTATTGACAGGTTGCAAGCACAAATGACAGCGCTTTGGGCTCATCAACAAACTGCGAATGCTGTGAATGGCAGCTTGTGCTTACATTACATAATGACGGGGGGGTTGTTGGGGTGCAGCCCCCCTGGCAAAACATGGACGAAAGTCAAAACATGCAGCTCAAACGGGCTTGGGGAGGCGCACCCCCCCCCCCATGTGCAAAAACATGCACGAAGATCAGAACGGAATGTTTAAGCCGTGCGCTTTTTAAAAAAAAAGCAGGGGGTGGGGGGGCGCACAACCCCCATTTGCAAAACATGGACGAAGATCAGAACATGCTGTGGAATCTTCAGCGCAGCATCTATCACGGTGGGTCCCAACAACTTCGGTAAGCTGCCGCTGCCAGCTGCATACATTACATCATCGTCTTGTTTTATTGGTTTCCTTCTGTTATTCATATTTCTGTCCTGTCTTCGTGATGAGTTCTTTCTTGTTTTTTATTTCTTGCGTTCTTCTCCTCTTTGTATTGCGTTATCTATCATCGCTGTGTGTTCATTGTTTCCTTCCTCCTTTTGTTGCTCTTCTTTCCTTCTGAGTTTCTTCCATTCTTCCTTCCTGGTCATTGTTTTTTGCTTTCTGTCTTTCTTGCGCACGCACTTCACTTCTTCTCGATACGGGTTCTACTCTACGACAAATCTGTGGTTTTCTTGCTCCTCACTTCCAACGTCCAGAGCTGCAAATGCTGCGTTTCATGCAACGCAATTGCAATGCTAGTTTTTGTTTTATCCTCTGTGGTTGCAGAAAGCACGTCGGGAAACCTTCGTCGCGACACTAAGCAAAGAAGGGAAGACATGTTGGGTACCCAGATGCTAGAGTCCGATTGCTTCGCTATTATTACCAATAGTACTGGCACATACTGGAACCTACTACCACCACTATTTATAAGGTCGTTCACAACATGACCAAATAAGTATGGTTTCTTGCAGGTTATGACGCCCAAGATGACGCGTGCTGCGTTTCTTTGTGGAAGGTTGGTTGGGACTCAAGAAGCTTGTGGCTGCAAGGCCTGGTCGCGCACTATACTTGGGGGCTGTCTGGGAACTGGGGGGGCTGCCGGGACTCTGGGGTGGCTTGGCCAAAGGTGGTGCCACAAAGGTTGCTTAGTGGTTGCTGGCCTTGGGCGGCACGGGGCATGTTTGGGCTAGGGCGGCACAGAAGGTGTGGCAACTACAGCAACATGCAATTGTAAGGGAAGGCTGGGCGCCTAACAGTCGGTGCGGTGGCTCAAGCCCGGTGGCCTGGTCATCAAGTTCAGGGGGAGCTGCAGCGAGGAACACTCCCTCCCTGGCGTGTTGGAGTCGGGGGAGTGCAGTAAGAGCTGCAGCCTTTAAGGCGCCTTGCCGGCGTGCGTTCTTACCCCATCCCGCACTCTGTTTGTGAGTGTAGGGGCGGTGGGCATTATTGCTCAGAACATGATCCGGCATTTTGGCTGCGGCGTCTTCGACATCACACCGCAGTCAAACAAGCAATAATTTGCAATCTCAACCCCAGCCAATAACCTACCATTCAGATTGCGAACACAAGTAATAAGGTCGTTCAGCATGACCAAGTAAATATGGTCTTTTGCAATTACTACTACTACTACTACTACTACCACTACCACTACCACTACCACTACCACTACCACTACCACTACCACTACCACTACTACTGTGAATTTTTGTCCCAGAAACCAGTTTTCCCAACATGTGCTGAACAGGTCTGACGGAGCCGCGGCTACGCGGCTCAAGGGGGTGAGCTTTTCCAATAACTCCTTGGGACGCCTAGGCTTTTCTTGAGCAAGTTGCTACGCCAACACGCGAAGGAACCCGCGTGCCTTGAACTACGCTTGAGGGACTTTGTATGCCCACCTATGGATTCCAACCACTTGCTTGCATTTCAATCGGTTTCCTCAAATTGGTAGTGGAGCCGGTCTCGGTTCCCTGTGCCGGCTCCTGCTTTCCGTCCTCCTCAACGCGTGCCTTGCTGCCAGCTGCGCCCATCCCCGTGGGGTACGCTCGGCCTCTCCTTAACCCCGCCTGCCTGGCTGCCCAGTAGTCTGCCGCCATGCTGGGCTCCGAACGTGTTCCGTCCACCGGCACCGGGACAAAGATGCTGAAGGACAACTCTATACCTTTGTTTGATAGCAAGCCTGCCTCTTACAAGGAGTATCGCCAGCGGTTGCAGCTTTACAAAGTTCTGCGCGCTTGTCACTACTTGCCACATGCTCAAGCAAAACTATGCACAACCACATGCCACGCACAGGATGCTCACTTTCTGCTGCGGGTGGCAAAATTGACGAAGCTGGGGGGGTCCCCCCACTGGAAAATGGGAAGGACCCGCAGTCAAACAATTATGACAAAGTCACCCCGCCCAAAAGGGAGGGTGATCCAGTGCGCACTCCAATTTGCGTCCAGTGCGCACTCCTAAATCAGCATCCAGTCCGCACTCTTTTTGCGTCCAGTGCGCACTCCTCCCATCTGCATCCACTGGGAACTCCTGCACGCATGCAGGGTTTAGGGGTTTGGGGTTTAGGGTTTAGGGAGGGTTTAGGGTTTCGGGTTT